ATACCCATCAGTTACTAATGGATACGTCAAAGCCCTATTTTTCAATGAGCTCTCAGTGCACTATTATCTGGCACTGAGAAGATCCCTGACTATATTTATTGATGCTATCGTTCAGGCTGTAACAGACACCATGTGAAAATTGCACTGTATATAACAGACGCCTAATTTACAAAATTGTGTTCAATAAGTTGATTCTGTCATTCTGTAATTGTTTAAAACACTTTAAGTTTGAGGAGGTTGATGAAACAGTAAAAAGGGACTTTAAAGTAACTTCATTACAATTACAAACTCAGCTGCAAAGATGTACTGTAAAATGCTGCATGCCATTTTCAGCTATGCCATTTGACTCTTGGGGCACCCTGGTAGCTCACCTGGTAGAGCTGGCACCCCATGTATTAATGCTGAACCCTTGCTGCAGCGGCCATAGGTTCAACACTGACCTGTGGCCCTTTGCTGCGTACCTCTCTCTCTAAAAGCCCCAAAATATCTAAAAAAATAATTAATTAATTAATAAATAAATTAGTAGTTGCAAAAGACCAAATTGCCGCTCAAAACATTTTTTTTTAGCGTGGCAGCATTTACTGGTTTATGAAAGATGTCATAGCCACAATGTACCCAATTCCCTTCTGACTGAGAACCTTTCTTGCATGTCATGCCCACCCTGTTCCTAATGTACAAATACAAAATGGCTAAAAAATATATTTTTTGTTTAACAAAAGAAATTAAAAATGACTTGGAAATCAAGTAATTTGCAGAGCACAGTCAAAATGTCCTGAAAGATAGGGAGGTGGAGAGGTGAGGTCATTTTAAAACACAGCTGTAATTTATCCACTTTACATTTCATGCCCCTTTAAAGGCTGAAAAATAGTCTAATAGAATCAAAACTGTATATCATCAAACTAAATCAAAGCTATTTTTGTTGCCCATTGCAATACATCACATTTTGGATTTTGATATAAGGTTTTCATCCGACAGTGACAATTACTGAGCATTTTGTGCAGCGACCAGGAATTGAAAATTTTTGGATGCAGAAACATATCTGGCTGAACCTACACATTTTGGATTTCTTAAAAACAGCGAAATGCTAATGGAGGCTCTGCCTTCCTCGGGCTCCACTCTCCATCCTGACCTCTGCCCTCGCCTCACTGCAGCCCCCATCACTGTCCTCAGCCTAAACAGGAGTGGATGAAGCTGTACGGCCGGATATCCTCTCGCTCTTCCCTCCTCTGTTCAGCTGCGTGTCAGAGCAGCCCTTAGAGAGCACAGAGGGCCTGGACGCCGGTCGCCTCCTCAGCCCCACTAACGTCTCCGCTGGTGGCCCCCCGCCTCTCTCTACAACGGGAGCCTCGGATGCAAGAAGGTGATGACCCTCATAGTCAGCCCTGCCCTCTCTCCTACCTCAACTTTCATCACCATCCCGTCAGCCCACACTCGACCCCTCTGCCCGCCATCTCGCCAGGAGCGAGAGCGTAAACAGTAATTGCTACATAAATTATGTTACACTCTGTGTTTTTCACATTTCTCCCTCGGCACTCTTGATGATACGCTGATATACTGTACTGTAGGCTGAGAGTACAGGGTGATAAGTGTGGTTGTAAAAAATAATGTTAGTCTATAAATCTCTGCAGTGCTTATTTTGGTTCTTAAAAAAAAAAAACACATTGTGGATAAAAGACAGGGAATACGTTGTACATATGCCAGAGTTTAAGGTAGGAGAGAGGAAAAAACGTCACGTTATACTGATGATTGACAGGTATTCTTTTGCAGACGATGGACTCGAGCTATATTCGCCCAGATGTTCCTGTACATCACCAAACTGTCACACACCTCCTAAAAGGATTTTATTTGTGGCACTGACACCCCCAAGGGACATAACCATAAATCACAAGGCTGTGATTAATTAAGAGGCAGACACACAGCGTGTCCATGAATCCTTCTAGGAGCGATGACACTGGTCAAACACAGTGCTTAAGGGAGGGCAAACAAATGCAGAGCGAGGGGTACATCCGCACAATGCCGAGCTGACAGGAGCACTGTAACCTGAACGATTCGAGGAGGCAGCGGTTGGTGAAGTGAAGAGCAGCTTTGGGAGCTAAAAACACAGCTGTGTGTGTGATTTCTAGGAATTTGGCGCTTTGGTGACACGAAATGTCAGCAAATGAATCTCTGATCTTTAATCTTCAGTCAGAAGCTATTTGTTTTGCACTACATAAATGAACTATTGCAAAGAAGAGTTTGGTGTGGGGGGGGGGNNGGGGGGGGGGGAGAGAATTAATAGCAGTTGTGAGGTGGAATCTGCTTACAAACCTTTGAATACACACATACATTTTAGTGAGTGCATCTACAAATAATCTGCAGCCTTTTCAAAGGATTAAGTCCCAAATGTCAAGCAATAATCCCTCTGTGACTTTTTTTGCCTTAAGGTCTATAAAAATAATTGTGTGGAATCTCAAGATGATCAGTTGGCATTTGAGATGAAGGATAATAATGATTAAAAAAATAAAAAAATAAATTAAAAAACGCTCAATCCGGCTTTGCGCAATTTTTTGGTCAAGTTTGAAGTAGGAAATAAATCTTTCTATCCTGAACTGTGCTCTTATTTTGACAGTTTAAGACACATTTAAAATTTCTGTGTTTCTGAGAGAGACGGGGAGAAGAAAAACCCACAACCACAGAGAGAAACACACTCAAACAGAAAATAACAGATCTGACTGAATGTTTGAGCTGCTGCTGCACAGTGAGCCCACCTCCTGCCGCTTTGGAGGAGTCAGCGGCCATCAGCACTTCCCAAAGACACAGTTCATTTACAAGCGGTCCCTGAACTGGCCCCTAATGTCCCGTGTTATCAGAATGAATCAGCAGCGCTGATAAATTAGCCGTTCGGAAACACGCTGCGAAGGCCTGTCAGCTAATGTGCGCGCGTTTGTGTGGTACTCATATGCAATGCTTAATGTTGTGGAACCAATTCTGTCGTTTCCATTATGTAAATACATTTGCCTCAGCACTATATTTTATGTATTGTCTCCCTTGTCTCAATTACTTGGGCTATTAAAAATCAAGAGGTTATGGAAATGAGGTGCAGTTGTCTGTTTGTAGTTTGATGACAAGTGCAAAGTGTTTATGAAAGCTCGTTATGCATTCAATTGCAGTCGGATACGTCAACACGCTCCGAGCGTTCATCCATATTCCACAATGCAATGGGGTGGCAAGTCAGTATCTTCAAGCATAAACAACACTAACAGTTGTGTTATCGTCTGTTATAGATATAAATAAATAAAAACAAATGTGCTGTTGCTGTTTTATTTAGATCTTCTCTGCTTTCTTACAGAGGAGGCAGAAAATGTGAAAGTGGAAACAAAAAGATATTTCTGGATGTGTTTGTGGCCTGTGCCAGAGAAAATAGTGTGTGATGCTTCAGTTGGGGTAACTTACTGTTAATTAGCCAGAATACCTCAGGAAATAATCAAGAAAACTAAATCAGGGAGAATCTCCTAGGAGGCAGTTAAGCTTTTAAGTATTGCAGCTTTCCCTGACATATCCAAACAACTCCTTTCTTAATCTTTTTTTTTTTTTTTTAATTTTCCCATGTTTTTCACTGTGAGGCACAATGTGAAATAAGTTGGTGTAAAACTCCAAAATCACAGATTCATTTTAACAGTGAACAACACTAAACTGTGACCACTTTGAAATAGACAAAATAAAAAAATAAAAAAACCCACCACAAAATCTCAAAGTGAGAGGTGGTGGGATGGAAATGTGTGATCAGTCAAAGTGCTGAAAATTATTATTTAAAAAAAAAAAAAAGTCAGTAAAAGCATAAAAAGGTATAAATGTGTATCTGTCGTTGGCAGCAAAAGTGTACATCTCCCTGCAGGTTGCAGAGCATTAAACCACACAGGGGATTTGCTTAGCATGAGCTCCGGTCAGCATCTATTTCAGCACGGCTAAAAGAGCAAATGTTGCTTTGTTATTCAGTCACCGAAAATCAGCATGCTTTCCCTTTTTGATTACTGATATAATTAATAGACAGTATGTCTTAGAGGTTTAACACACTGATGTCACACACACTCTTTCATTAGGTCTACTCTCTGCAGTAGTTTGAGAAATTCTAATTCAAAAATACACACAAATAAAAATAGTGGCATGAATTTAAATATTATTCTAAAAGACTGAACCACTAATGGTATTTTTCTTCTCCTTTCCTCTCCCTGTTGAAGGCCCAGAACTGCTTCTCAAACTTGAGACTTTTTAGTGAATTGAATTAAGCACAGCAGATGACTAAAGTGTAAGCCTTTAATGAAGCAGAAAATAGTTTAACAAGAGACAACGGAATAGGAGTTGTGAATGTGAGGGTGTTAGTACCACTGTATACAGCGGTGACATTTAAGTGCTCTCCTTAAAAAAAATCTTTTAGTTTTATTGGAGTGCATGTGGCGCATTGCTCTCGCTGTACCCTATTAGTCTAAATGTGAAGTCACTGACAGAAACGGATTTAGTAATCGGATTCAGATGATGGAGGAAATCCGTGCCGTTTGCAGTGAGGAAGTTCAACGCGGTGCGCTGACAACGTCGAGACCTGTTCGGAAGCATCAACAATCAGGTGTTAAATAAGGAAGGCGAGCCGCTTTCCTGCACATGGACACGTTCAAACTTCTATTAAAGCGAATTAGTCGTTTCATTTCCCTCGCTGTCCCCCTCGGAGTCAGAGACAGCGCAGGCTTTTGGAGGACAATAGACGCAGCAGCAACTAAACTTTCCCAGGCGAACACAATGCGCCACATAAAGCCGACGGCACGTCTTGAACGGGGGTCCTTTCTCCGTGTTCCCTGTGTGAGAACTGGCAGGAAGCGGCCGCGGACGGTGCGCCGTGCGGAGGCTGGAGCGGCGCGGGGTCGACCGGGCTGCCGTGCGCTCCGACGCCCCGCCAAGGTGCGCGCGACGCTCCGCTCGCGCTGCGAAGGGAAGACACACGGGGGGAAACAAGTGCTGTAAAGTTGTACCTTTTCTCTTCGATCGCCTCCTCCTTCTCCTCTTCAGCTTGCATTTGACCTGGCCGCTCTGAGCCCCCGACGCGCGGCTGCTGTTTCCAAGTACGGATGCCATCAGCGCAGCCTTTGGAGCGAGGCGCAGGAATAACTTGGACTCGGCGGCTCGACTCTCCTTTGTACTTGTCTCTCTTCAGCCTCCGTTGCTCTCTGATAACGCAGCGTCCTCGGCTTTGACGTAGACTCGGACTTTATTTTCGGCTCTCCCTCCTTTTTTTTTTCTTCTTTTTTTGTTATCCCTCCAAACCAGGGGGCAGCGCGTCTTGCTGTTCCCGTATCACCTCTGAAACTCCAGCTCGCCTCCAGCTCACGGAGAGATCGTTCGCAGCGCAGCGTGGCAGCTCTCAGCAGCACTGATACCGGCGCCCCGTCTGCTCCGCTCCTCTCCGACAGTTTTCCGCGCCTCTGCAGAAATTTTGGCATCAGCCACTTTGAATTCAATCATGCAGGACGCCTATCTATTTGCTGCCGAGCTTTCTAATTAGGGTCCAATCGTGGCTGTCTGGGAGGTGTGACATCACCGGCGACACCCACCAACTCACACCCCTTATTCACCCGCTGCTTTTTTAAATGTTTGTTACATTCAGGACTTATTCCTCGCACTTTTTTTCCACACTGCAGGGGGAGTGTGTTCTCTTCCGCCCTCCACAGGGAGGTGGGAGGTGGGGGTGGGGGTCAGGGGTCAGGCTGGTAGGGATTCTTGCTCAAGGGCACTTCAGCAGGTCGGATGCTTTGCAGCATGATGAGGGACTTGAATATGGTTATCCTTGCTGGCGGACTGTTTCCATGTTTACTACGTGCCACCCTGCTGCAAACTCACCACCAACTCCAGGCTAAAAGAAACAGGGTGGTGGTTCTGGACAGAAAAACAAAAATTCTCCTCTCCACACAGTCCGCTGTTACGTGAATCCTTCTCCTCTCCCTCCTTGTTTGTCCACCGAGATTTGGGATTTATCATTTTCTTGCGGGATTATGGATCTGAAAGAAACTCCCTCTCATTCCAACTCTGCTCTAAATTCACTGACAAGTCCTCAAAGGGAGATTACTCTAAGATGCACAATGTTCAATACGCTCACACTCAACAAATAGATCTTTGATATACTGAGTCAAATTCTGTTTTCCAGCTTTATAATTACACTAGCCTCCTAATTACAAAACAATATGTCTTCTTTTATTTTGAAAATCCTGCTTGGTGGTTGCAGGTGACCTTCATCACAGTCGGCACAAACTCTTGTGACAGTGTGTTGCAGTCGCAAAGTTTGAAGAATGTGACATTTTGGCATTTTTGTGTGAAAGTGCAGTGTCGAGGCTTTCAGAAAGCATTTGTGGCTTTCCTAGCTGGAGGTTATTGTTTTATTCCCCCAGCCTCCACTGTGGAAGGTCAGGTGTGTGTTGGGAGGAGGCGCCATGGTACTGCTAGATACAGTCAAGGCCAGTGCAGTGAAGGAAAACAATGCAGATTTTGTTAGGGCCTCATCAAACAAACAATTTTAGTTAGTTTTGTTAGTTTGTGTGTTTGCGCGCTCTATTGAATAAAGAAAAGAATGATATCTTAAAAAATGAGAAAAATTGGTCTTCTGTTGCCTGTAAATGCTGTTATTTTCCCCTAAAAACACCTCCTTTACCCTCACCAGCTTTCATCCATTTTAATGGTAAAAAAAAGACAAACAATTAATTTGCAGAGAAAAAAAAAACAGATGTCAGATTGAAAAGTCACTTTGAGCCTCTGTTGTTAGGTGGAAACATTTCCTCCCGGCCTGAGGGGCAGAGAGAGAGGAGGGAGAGGGTGAGGAGGGAGAGGGTGAGGGGCAGTCCGCCAGGCTGCAGCCTGCCCTCAGGACGCCCACAAATATCCATGTAAATTGCAGTTTAAGAGAAATCAATACAAGTGACAAGTTGCCAATGCCACTATCTGGGGCAGTAATGAAGGTGTGCTAGCAGGGGGGCTGGAGCGTACATAGATAACAGCAAACGTGCTGGGTGGGGCCGAGGTACGGGTCAGAGGCCCATGCACGCACACACACACAC